ACCAACATATTAGATAAGAATTTTAATATTTATTTTAATACTAACATTTTTACTTATTTTACGGATGAGGGTATAACAATACATAATATTGTGACAAATCCAAATATACAGGCTTATTTGCAATGTTCCTATAGGTATATATATATGCCTTACGAGTTACGAGTTAAAGTACATGAAATGAAATACCTTTATCAGAGGTGTTCGAACTGTGCGTCGCGACTCCCAGGGGCGTCGCGGGAGTGTCGAAGGGAGCCGCGTAGTACCTATAATTGAAAACCAATAAATATTTTTACGCAAAATGTTTACTATTATCATTGAAGCATACCGGTTGGGAAATGTTGAATTGTCTACAACAATCATTCGCTAAATATAGAGCTTTAATTTTTTTATATATGTAATGTGGTAAATAAATAATAAAAATAAATTATAAAATATAAACTACATTCATATAAACATTGATTTTTTTGTAATTTATAATTTGGGAACCGTCAACATTTTGTGAAGACTTAAAGGAGCCGTGTAATGAAAAAGTTTGAATACCTCTGACCTATATGATTAATGACTTATTTGTGTACCTATTTCATAGTGGGGGGGCAACTCGAAGATGTTTATAAGCTTATGGCAAACAAAATCATTTAATATTTTTATTATCATATAGGTATCTAATAATTTAAACATTTAATTTTGTTCTTTTTTCATAAACATTACTATAAAACATCACCAACTTCAACGTACAGCTACTTACTTTTAATATGTATATGTAGTATACTAGTATATGCATATACGAGATATAGTGTGTTAACTATTTATGTTTGTCATTAAAAATGAATAATAGAGATCGAGATTAAGAAGATGTCAGTACAATATTTGTTTTCTCCCTCTGAACCACATGCAACATTTTAGCATATTTGTGTTCTAACCAATATGTTGTGTTGTCAGATTTAATATTAGATTGAGTTGAGTAATCTAACTATAGTTAAACGTTAAGTTAAGAAAATTATATGAGCTTTAGATTTTTTAAGATATTTAAATTGTTATGCAAGTTATATGGGTATAATATATCGAACATAACATTATAAAAATGCTCATTAGGAAGGTAGGTCGTAGGTACATTACAGAAAAGTTTTAATATTATGATATAGCAAACCTATATTATTATATTCTTTAGATCCGTATATATTATTTCAGAATACTTATATAAAATCAGAAATATTATAATTTATTGGCATATTGTTCAATTTTCATGTTATTATTGGTCCATGTTAATTAGTCACGTTTTAATTTGGTATAACTGATGTGAGTCCAGATTATTTAGAAATAAATTGTAAATATTTGATAATGATCATAATAATGAAAATTGAATACATTTATTATTAATTATTAAATATTAATATTTAATGAGATATATTTTCCAGACTTTTTAACAATAAAATATTGTTTAAAGGCAAGTAAACTAAAGATCTCTAATGACTTTGGTTGGTATAAATTGGTTCAGTCCTCACAAGAAAAACATTACTAAATTGCACATTCCTATAATTCTTTTTATATGAATATGTAGTTTACAATATTGGGTGGATATGTTTTGATAGTTCATAAATAATAATCAAACTTTAAGACTTAAAGATTGTACAAATGTTTTATGAGGCAATTTTTTTACAGGAAATATTTTATTTAGTTATTAGTGGTTGGTATTACTTTAAGGAATTGATTCTGTAAGTTTCTGTAAGTAAAAACTAAAAATTAACAAAGAACTATACAGAAATACTACATAATTATTTTCAACAAAATTAATTTTTGTTATTAAGTTACTATGTTTTAGGTATTAGGTACCTAATAGTACCCTATAGTACCTTGTTACAAGGTTACTTTAAGTACAAGGTAATTGTACTTAACTTTAATTCAACAAAAATTATAGCCCTAGGGACTAATTACTCTAAACGTCTACTAAACGTTTGTATACTATTTGATTAATTTGATTCAATAGACTAGATAAGATACAATTTTGAATGTTAGTTTTTTCTTTTTAAGTACATTTTAAATGTGACACGAGTATATGAAAATCTAAAGATATGAAGATTATTAAAATTTCAATTGGTGTGTAAACATAAATAAATTATAATTCAATTATTGTACATAGAAGAAATTAGATAAACATTTTCTGTCTTCTTGGTATTGGAAAATTACATTTAATGAAATTGTATTTATAATATAGTATAATAATATAAAATTCAAAGTATATCATTCTAGAACAGTGTTTCCGAACCTATGGATCACTAAGAAAACTTTTTATAGGTCGTAAACATAACTTTAGTCAAGAATCAATATGTACCAACTTAAATGGTTAATTAGAACTAATTTAGAAGATACATATATGTCTAATATATATAATAATTTAATTATATTATATTATATTATCTTCATAAAAATGTTGTAGGATAAAAACAAATAATTAAATTACAAAAGAGTATGAAAAAAAACAATGGTTTTTTGTTGAAAATTTTTTTATTTGATTATTAATTAAAAATAAGATAAATTAAAAACAAAAGGAAAAAATATAAAAACAAAACAAATGGCATAATAATAAAACATTAACAGCAACTGTCCAAAAAGTTTTAAATATAGTTCTACAAATTAGAAAAAAATTCACAGGGTTTTAAAAATTAAAAACATAGGAACCTTAGAAAGACAAATATACAACATTTTGTATGAAAGTTAAACTGGGCAATATTTTAAAATCATATTTCGAGAAATACTCGTATACTAAAGATTTTTTTTTATTTCTGTTATTTTACACTATTTTCCTTCTATTTTGTTTCATTGGTAGTATTTAGTTTAACTTATCAAATAGCAACCTATATTTAAAATTTTAAATTCTTGGAAAGAAAATATAAGAAGATCCACCAACAAACGGTTTATTTTAAATAATACTTTTATTAATGGTAGCTTGTAAGATATTTAATAATTAGTAGGCGGGTATATTATTATATTTATAATATTTTCAGAAACTTATCTTTTTGAAAACTTTGGGTGAAAATTATAGGTAGCTATTTGGTATGTTATACTGTTCTTTCAAATAAGGGAATAGGATAGTTTTTAATTAAAAAAATAGTATAGTTAAAAAATCTAATAGATGGGGAGGGAAATTAACAAATATTTCCCAATTTAACTTTAACAAAATTAACCTCTATATCATGAATAAAAAAATTAACAATAAATATTTTCTTAATTCATCATTATACAGTATACATAATTTTAGTACTAAGTATCACAAATTTATTTAAATATTAATAACATTTAATATTGAATTATTATTATTAATACATTTGTTTTTGATCTAGTAAAATAAATAAATAAAAATAATAGGTACTCAATAAAGTCACAATTCTGACCAAAATACTTAATAAATAGAACTATTTTCTTTGGAAAGGACTTTAAACTTTTTGGACTTATCATACATCAAAAATATTCAAGCACATTATTTGGTTCAGACATAATACTTTGTGCTTCACAATAACATTAGAAAATAAACTATTAATCTCCTAATTGATTGATTATGACTAATAAAAGCATACAATAGTCAGATTATCCTTATTTATCTAAAATTACATTTTATGTCAGAAAATAAGGAGAAATATAATTTCTGTAATGAATACAATAATTAATCAGGTCACATTACTCACATTGTAAATAAAAAAAAGTATTGTTTAATATCCATTCATGGAATGCTTAATTTTAAATAATGGACCATTAATTGTTTTTAAATGCATCATATTATATAACATAAAGTATAAATCTGTTTTTAGGTTACTTAGTTGGAATCTAGGAAAATGCATGAAAAAAGCAATACATAAATATCTAATAAATATAAGATAAGTCACGTTTATTATCTTTAGAATTGAAAAACATTTAATTAGTCAAGATTTACCAAATAAATTTTAACATAAATTGAAATATAAAATGATATCATTATAATTATATTGTAACTTGTACCTTATCACCTGAACATTATGGTGTGAGTTATAGCTGACACAAAATTAGGTAGCCTTGTTCATTGTCTCTATATTCTTCAAAATATTTTAAAATTATATTGCGTCTTTTTTTAACTGAACAGTACTTAATAATCTTTGCTGAAATTTTATTTCGTCTGCTGCAATTCCCAGTGTTAATTTTTAATAAGGTTAAAAAAATAGTATTTATAGCTTACCAACTTAGAAAATTAAGAATTAAACCAGATGTTTAGTAGAGTACTTTCATGTACATTCCAAAATTCAGGTGGAAAAAGAGTTACCTAGTTGTTTTCAAGCAGAAATGTTAGATGGGGAGGGGGGGAGCAAAAAAATACCCACATTTTGTATATCAGCAGTACTCAACCTATGTGTTTTGGCGAGCTAAGATCTTTATACAATTTCTTATGTAAACTTTTTGAAAAAAAAATGCATGATTGGAGTCTACTTATCACCCACAGTAACTTAATTTTTTCAATTAGTAAAACTAAGACAAGCTATTAATCTTTCTTTTTTTTTTTACTCATATTACCTACTTAAAGAAATTCAACTTAAATTAATAACAATTTTTGACCACCTATTCATAATAATTAGTGACCCAAAATGTGGTTATTAACTTATGGTGGAGAACCATAGTTTTATTTTGCATCTAATTTAATCAAATTTATATGTTTTTCAATTTTAATATTTATAATACAAATATATTGCTTTTTTTCCCATATACTTAGCTATTTAAAAACATACTACATACTAAATATCATTGACTCAACATTTTTTAGGGTATTTATTTTTGTTTATGAAACAAAATGTTTAAACATACCATCAGTCTGTCAATCAACATCTATTAATTTGCATCAGTCAGTTTTAATTTATATCTAATATAGATAAATTGTTATTTGATGATGTATATTACTAATTAGTATTCACAAAAGTAAAATTTAGTACATTTATTTGACATTAATAGAAAGATTATTTTTAAAAAAAAATATTAAAACAATTAAAAAATAAAAATAAAACAGAAAATGTAAATGACAAATAATTTAAAAGAGAATAAAATGACTTAACTGTTTTTTTTAGCAATTGTCGGTGAATTGTCTACTGAAAAACTAGAATTAATGTGTGTAATACTGTAGTCACGGCCCATTATCCATTTCCAAAAACTTTTGAGTCTAAAAACAAAAAAATATACATAATTTTGTTTGTAGAAGAAGCACAAAATAAATATTTGTATAGTTAATTTAACATTATTTTTAGATTCTAAAGCAAAGCATGGGAGCTATGACTTATTTTATTTGTTTGTATGTACGTATGTATTGTTAATTTTTAGGTAGGAGTATTTTAACAGTTTCATTTAGGTAGTTCCTAAGACTTTTATAAAAAAAGTAGGTTTTAAGAAAATTATAAAAATCCTAAACAAGTTGTAATTTCACTGAATGAACTAATTCAAAAAGTGATAATCTCAACTAAGCTTTGCTTATAATGTAATGATTTCATAAATACTACCATTATCATTCATTGAGATGAATGCTTAACACCCGGTGTATCATGTAAATAATTTTAATATGTTACCTTGATAGTAATTCTTTTCGTACAGCTGAAGTAAACTTGTTAAACAAACAAAGTGTAGCAGCTGAAGCAAATACAACATTGTACAAAGCAACAATTGTGAAATTTCCAAGCCATTCAATTCTTCCATAATCGGCTAATAAATCAAAGTCTGTAATTCCTAAATAAAAATACAAAAATAAAATAAAATAGTTAGTGTAGTTAAAATCTTGAATATTAAAAATACTTACCTAGAATTCTTGATAATAATGGTAATGCAGAGCTTAATATAAGCAACAAAGTACAATTGCCTACTATGTGTGTTAATGGTGTTTGTTTAAAATGTGGACGGTATGTAGACACTACAGGCAATGAATATAAACCAACACTCGAGGCCACTAACATGTATAAAATAATGACTATTTCCAAACCAGCCCCAAATGGTCCTAATTTGGATAGTGAACTCACACCTAAAGTAAATTGCTAGGGAAAAATAAACATTTTCAAATTAATAAAATCAAATTTTTTTTTTATATTGTGTGATACAATTTACTTCAGCTATTGAATTTATTTTTATTTAATGAGATGTAGGTATTTAAGATGAATTATTAATATTTATTTGATAAAATAATCTACTCACTCTAGTATTAAGAGGTAATGCTTTTATGCCAATGAGTATCAAAATTAAATTTTGGACAACTAACAAAACCGTGACAACAGTAAGTGCTAATAGCAATAGCATGAATGTTGGATATAAAAATAACTTACGGAATACCGATATTTTTCTTTGTTTTTCTATAATATATAACAATATAATAAATATATTTAATATTGCGATTAATGAAAAAAAAAATGTAAATATTATTAGAGCATACCAAGTATATCAAGTCTTTCTTGATGAATTGATAATCTATCAGTTAGTCCACGTTTTAACTTTCCATTCTGTAGTGTCCATAACTCCTTCTCAGTACGAGTTATATTTTGTTTTTTCCCTTCCAACATAGGTTCTGGTGACATGTATGTTAAACCATTTATTGTGACTTGGTCCAACCTAAACAATGTTTACTTTTTTTACTAAGATATATATTTGATTTTTTATGACATATTTTTAACAAAACATTAATAAATTAACTTTAGTATGTATAAAAATAATTAACTGTCTGTACTTTGCTCAGCAAAAGAACACATTGATTCTGTGCATCCTAACGCAACATCCTGAAATTCAGACTGATTCCACTAGGATTAAGTGTCCCACAGAAATGACCAGAAAAATCTTTTTCAGGCCATGACATGTTCTTTAGCTGGAAAAAGTATAGTTAAAAACATGTTAAGTACCTTCTAGAAAGACAATCTACTTCAAGCCTTAAAATGCTGATTTCTTCATCCGTGGTTTTTTGTAGTTGTGGTTTAATCATAAACCGACTTAGAATGGTAAACAAAGTAGCAAATCCAACTGGAGTACATACTTAAACATAATAATGATATTAAAAACAATTAACAAATAAAAGAAATCTAAGAATAAAAACTATAATTACTTAATAGCATAAGTACACCAATGAATGAAATGCAAGAATATAAGAATGGTAAATAGTTGTTCCATAAATCTGCAAGATAAAAGTCATAAAATAATAAATGTGAAACACCTATTGTGAAATTATACATGTACTCACTGAATAGCATGTAAAAAAGAGATTGTTCAGTATAAAAAATTGTGTACAGCAAATATGTCAATACAAGAACAAATATCGAAAGTAACAAAAGCACCGTACATGTTTCATATACTCTGGCTCGCAAACCCTGGGGAAAAATATTTTATTAATACCTTAAAAATTTAAAAAATATATAAGTGTTTATTACTTTTCGATGACCAGGGAATCCTTCAGATTCGTTGAATAAAAATGCAAATGGCAAAAACACAAATAAAGATAAATTTGAAAACAAAAATACCAAACTCCACAGACCTAATTAAAAAACAAATACGGAATTCCATTAATAATAATTAATAAATATAAAGAAATCTTTTATTATTTACCATGTATAAGTGAGTGATTTAACCATTGGACGTAATAACTGGAAGGATATAAAGACAGCACTTCATTACTAGCTATCGAAATAGGTAACAAAAGGGCTGCACCAACAGCAACTGCCAATGCAATAGTGCAAAGTAACAAACTGAAAATTAAAAACAAAAAATTGGTATACTACCTAATTACTATTTTACTAAGTATTTTAGCAAATTCTATTATTCAGAATACTCACCTATATTTATAAACTGTAATATCATCTTCATCTTGAACAGAAACAACAATGTTGTCCCGTTTTCTGTAATGATTAATAATGGCGTAACTCAACGCTAGCAACAAAACAAATAGCAAGAGAAAAATCTGAAATCAAAAAATAAAATAAAAATAGTTTTTTTAATGAATTTTTTTTTTAAACTAAAAAATTGGGGCAGTACTCACTATTTTCTCTCTAACATTATTATAGAACAGTTCTTCTCGTTCGTCTGGCTCGTCTACATCGTCCATACTTTGCAATAATTAAGTTGCGTACAATATTTGCACACTACTGTCAGTAAACTGTGTGTGGTTCATGCTCACTAATCTAATCTTGATTCGTTGTTGTCGTCGTTGATGAATACGTGATGAATATTTTCATTAGTACCTCCTGGGTACATAAATTTCGTTATAAAAAGAATGATACAAAATCAGTAAATCTTAATTATGAATATTATTTAGAACAGCCTTGGTGGTGACACGTCGAAAATTATTCAGTTATTTACTAGTTACAGTCAACGATAGAAAAATAAACAGATCGTTAGAAAAACGGTAATAATAATAATATCGACAAATCAAATAATTTCCACGACACACTACAGTGGATGACGATGTATATTGTGTGACTAAATGTGAAACGACTGAAGTCTGAACGAGTAAACGACCACATACAGTAAACAGTAAACACAGATATCTATAATGAAACTTGATACCTACCGGGCTACTGTATTTAGGCCGCTAGATGACGTGACACGTATACAAACGAATTTTTTATTAGTATCGGTGCCATGTGTTTCTGTTATACACTTTTTAGGAGTAATAATTGGCAATATGTACTGCTAAAGCTTTAACATATTATCACAGTAACTTTATTTTAGATTGAAAATTGGTCACCGTCGTCGGTGTCCGCATGTAGGAATTAAGCTTGTAAAATAGGTAGCAACTACTTACCTTGCTTGTACCTAAGATTGTAGATACATATCGGATATCCTGTAGACTAGCATCCAGTGGTTCTCAACCTACGTGTGTTGGCGACCCAAGATAAGGGCCCAGTTTTTGAACCTTGTTGAAAAAATGTTCGATGTGGGGCTAAACACCCACCCTACCATTATTTTTTTTATTGCCAAAACTAAAAGAAACTATTAAGAGGATGTCAGAGCACTATTTGTTTTCTCACTCTGACCCACGTGCAACACAGACAAAACGCATTTACGCAGAATCATTTTTTCTATAATTTTAAGTAATCTTAGAGTAAAAACACCCATTACAAAACAGATAGAGAATAATATTTTTGAGGGAATGATATATCGATTTGTTTAAATATGGTCTCAAACAATAACATCATTTAAATTCACAATATTATTTTGTTTATTTTGAAAGTCAAATACAAAGTCAAATAACAATAAAATATAAAATCGATATGCCTTTCCTCAAAAATATTATTATCTTTCTTTTTGTGATGGGTGTTTTTTCTCTAAGATTACTTAAAATCATAGAAAAAATGATTCTGCGTAAATGCGTTTTGTCTATGTTGCGTTTAGGTCAGAGAGAGAAAAGTGCTCTGACATCCTTTTAATCTTAATTTATTTGATTTTGTTTTTATTTTTAATTGTATTACTTACGTAAATAACATTTTTTGTAACTAATTTTTGGGTGACCCATTTAAAATTATTCTAGACCCAAAATTGATTCACTGTCTTATGGCTTAGAATTGCTGCTGTAGACTCTAGGCACCCCAAATTAGCTACTTAAAGACATTTTTTTGAGTTAATTTTTTAATAACTGAGAAATATCCGTAAAGTGTGTTTAGAACTCGTAAAATGTAGAGTTTGAGAATGGTTGGTTGAAAATTAAAATGCTCTATAACAGTACCTAGTATAAGTTATATCATTATAATAATAGGTAGGTATAAACTATAAAGACTACCGGTTTATACACTAAGCGTGCGCTCACTCGGCCGAGTCACTCCCCTTTTATCCTTTGATAATGCATTTATTCAAATTCAGATGTTTAGAATATATAAGTATAGGTACTTAAAGAATAAAGACTATATTTTCAAATAAGTACACTTACGTATATTATTTTAACAGCCCTTTTTATTGTAATTTGCTAAGCAGATCATAATTTTATCATGGACCTATTTTCCTTATAGTGTCTACGTGCTACACAAAGGTAAATAACTCAAAAGCTGATTGTTTGAATTTAGATACTTGGATATTTCATATTATACATTACATAATTTTTCAGCAAAATAATCTAATCAATAATTTATAGTAAAAAAGAAGGGTGCCTGTGGCCTGTGATTTGAAAATAAACTGTAAAATTTACAAAGTAGCAAAATGTTTTGTGAAATTCGCTTCTAAAATAATTGTCCATGGTTGCATACAATAGATCAGAGGTTCTCAACTTTTTAAAGTATGTACTCGGTGACAACCTTTTAAGTCGTCAAAGTGTAGTAGGTACTGGCGTGGCTTCCGTCCATTGTAATAATAACAATTGTTATTAGTTATTATCTTATTATACTTATACAGTTATACTTATGTCCACACTCTAAGCTTTCATCTGCGTTTATGATTTATAATTGACTACTATAATTATAGTCAGTGGGTATCTCCGGGTTACTAACCTTTTGAAAACGTTGATGTATCTAAATCAAAATTCTAATGAGTAGCTTCTGAGTTATTAAAATGTTTATACTAAGGATAATCCTTAAAAATGGTTTTATAAAAATAAAACTATATTTAAGGTTAGATGTAGGTAGTATTTATTATACTTGGATCATTTTTACAAATTATTTAAATTGATAAACAATAGTAATTGCCAACTTTTTCAAATTGTCGAAGCTCCCTATTTACTTAACCCATTACCATATACATATTATCCTTAAAACATAAAGCTACACTACTCAAAAAATACTACTTTCAAATGCTCAAAAAAATATCTGCTTAATAATTAAAAATGAAAAAGGGATGTTCCTATTTGAAAAACTGAAGTTTATATTGTCACAGCCCACAGGACCATCCTTAAGTGGTACATCAATTTTCAATTATTCGAAAAATGGTCTTATAATGTGTATTTCAAAATTCCAAAAATCTGAATTTTAATACACACATAATTTAAGCATAAAAATAAGATGCATGTTCAAAAAATCATCCCTTCAATATATATATATATATATTTATATATGAAAAGTCGAAAAATGAATAGGTAAATAAATGTATTTATGTGTAAATCGCAAATGTGTAATATACTAATATTTGTTGGTACCCACATAAAAAAAAAATTGGAGTACTAATATGATTTTCAAAATTTTAAGAACTTACTTAATTACATTATGATAGGTAATTACTTACTATAGCATAATTCGATAGGAAATATTAATTGATAATGTTCAACTGCAAACGTGTCCCACCCAAACTGCACTTCTTACCTATATGTTTGAATAACACTTTTGGTTTAAAAAAAGACAATGCACCAATGCACAAATTAAACTCTATCCATAAAACTTATATACATCAATTTTAGTTGACAATTCAATATACTTCGTCGAATTTCGATCGATTTCGTATTACATGACCTAACTATAATTTGGAAATAAATGTTGAATGTGTGGAGAGTCCATGGTAGGTAATCGACGACGAACACAAAATCTTGTATTTGTCGATAATTTTTTCCAACGATATTGATGCTTGTGATATAATAAAAAACAAAAATATACGAACGATGAACCTATAATCTACTTATATATTTTAGAGTCGGTAGGTACATATAGTATATAATATTTTAGTAGGTACACTTCCTCTTCCGTCTCTGTGATCATCCATCATATTGTCAAGTAACTTACAAATCGTCAAAGGAGAACTTTGTCTTGTTTTAATTTAATTGTGTATGAAAATTATACATTTATAAAAAATATGTATATGCGAGTGCCGAGGTGTTAAATGGCGTTCAAGCGTTGTAGACACCGCGGGTGGTTTACGGGAGTGAAATTCGAACATAACATTTCTATGTTCTGAGTGCAACTTGACAAAAATAAGTGCTATTCGACCTTACGTCCTTACCCATTTGATGTTCCAAAAAAAAAACCTGAAGATTTTATATTTCTTGTGCTTGTAGTTTTAATTTTATAACCATAATATTATATTTGTGGCTAAATTTCGTAGAAGCAATCGATTGTATAATAATTTTGTAAATGATAAAATATAACATCGAATCAAGGTAAAATTGTTTGGGGTAAAAATGATAAAACATATTATGGTAAATCCAGAAAATATTCTTTTATATATTAATATATTATAATTATTTAAGATATGGTATTGTGTTTATTCTCCGAAAACTAAAAACAAAATATTTCTGATATTATGAGATTTGAATAAAGTAAAATATAAATATACATACAAATCATACAATATTACAATGTCTAACAACAGCACATCCAAGAATAAATATAACTATAAGGGAGGAGCTAGACATAATAAATCATTTTTATGATATCATATGTAATGTATACTGTACAGAGTTGTGTTCTAAAAAGTTTAAAAGTTACGTTTAAATATTAAATAAGATTTGTGAATGTATTCAATTCACTGTTTAATAATAATAATAATGAATATTTCTATTTTATATAAGTAAGTAGAGGTACCTACTGAAAATAATTAATGATTTTAAAAATTATAATCCAATTATTGTTTACCCATTTAACGCCGTATTTCTAACGAGTATAAAGAATAATGAATTATTATAATGTTGCAATATTTACGATTACATTAATCTATATATACAGAATATATTAATTTGGGATTCTTGAGCTTTGATGACGCTACATATTGTTATATAATATGCATATTCTAGTAATATGCAGGCATAACAGGATGAACTAACAGATGTAATTAATTATACTTACTTAACCACGTAATAACTTTCATTCTTATTAACTAATTTTTTTTTCATATAGATATCATTTATTGTAATTGTTACTTAAATTAAATTAAATATTAAAAAAGAAAAACCCAAGGAAGTCTCTTTGCTATATAGATGTAATTGGTATCGAGTGTACTTCGTCATCGAGGTCACAAATATGAATGACGTGTTAAATTTGAAATCAATGTTCAATCATTGCAGCATACGAAAAATCATTATGAATAGAGACTGGCTATTGGCCTATATTTCTAAGGATATTTTATTCTATATTTTTATTACAATTGGTATTTTCTTAGAAAGAATTATTTCTTTCTACTAGTAGGTACCAGGTTGACCTAATTTTTGCCAAGAAAACAAATCTCATAATATACCTACTATATCATAATTATCATAATAATTATTATTATTAACTATTATTCACTTTTGAGTCAATATCGAAGTACCGTAAAACATAGTGAATAGGTTATCTCGTACATTGCAGCATAAAATTATTTATTAAATATTTTTAGAAAAAAAAAACCTCAAAACCCCCTTTTTTTGATATCAATCTCAATGATGATAGTTAAAATTCCCCCATAACCTGTATTTGTATACAGAGGGATCAAAGTAGAAGAACCCTATAAAAGGCAACAATTACTAGAGTGTGAAAATTGTCGAACCTATGCGGCCACACCCGAACCTATTGTGCATATTTGTCCATGTATGTCAAATGTGGGGAGAATCACATATCCACCTACTGCACAAAATCACCGAATCTCCTAGC